CGTGTAATATTATTTTAATAAAGAATGTGTGGTTGAAAAAAAGATAGAGAAAAATGCATTTTGAAAAAAATGGGTACCAAACAGGGCCTAAATGACTCGTTGCTAAAAGGGAATGCTCTGAATGAGATGCATATCGGAAAGGTCACGAACATTTATGTTAGTCGTCTGTCGTAACCATTTTCCTTCCTTCAAATAGAATACACAATGACACAATATTAATGAGAATGAACATATTTTGTGCTTGTTTGATAGTGCTTTTAAGTTATAAAATTTACCATATATAAATTATTTGAATAAATACCAAACATGCTCATATTCCAACAGAAAGAAAAGAAAGTGCCAGGTATATGAATCTCACCAAGATGTAGGAATAAGATTACAATTGTGGAATGGAATTACCAGCTCATTCCAACCCCATTAATTTCCGGGTCAATCGCATTCCTATATAAGTGCACAAACACATAAAAACTCTTTTCACATCAACACATACTCTTCTTACACAAATTTAAATACTATTTAGCCATCTAAATACCACCAAATACTTATAATCAGCCAGAAAAACATCCATCAATGGCAGATTTTGAGAATTCTCAAGAAATTCCTAAAATCATTACATTCCTCTCTTCCCTTCTTCAAAGAGTAGCTGAAACGAACGACGTTTTCCGACATCTCGACTCACAAAAAATCTCTATCTTCCATGGCTTGACAAGGCCTACCATTTCTGTCTACAGCTACTTGCAGAGGATCTTCAAGTATGCAAATTGCAGCCCTTCTTGCTATATCACAGCATACATTTATCTCGACCGGTTTATGAAGAAACAGCCATTGTTGCCTATCAATTCTTTCAATGTTCATCGCCTGCTTATTACAAGTGTTTTGGTTTCTGCAAAGTATATGGATGATATGTAAGTTTTCTTGATGCTTTAATAATCTGTTAAAACCTGATGAAAATTAACCCTTTTGATCCAATAGTAGTTAACAGATTATTTGATTGTTTGGTATATTCATAGAATCAAAGTTCAAAAAGAAGTTAAAAAATTTGTTTGTCGACTGTATGTTGTGTTCGAGTTCTCAGTTATGCTTTTCGTGTGATCCAATTAGATTTCCTAACGCCAAGCTCACTGCACGTCTAGGGATATTCCTAAAGGAGTTGCTATAACAGAGCATTTCACTAGTTAAATTTTCTCGATTAGTAAATTGCAACTCGATTCAGCATAGAATTCATCTATTTCTGATCATGATGTCATAGTTGCATCGTTGTCGTCTTCTTCTTCTAGTTTATATTTTTTAATTTTCCCTGTAATGGGATTAAGTTTCATAGTTCCAAAAATAATGGTTTTTATTTATTTATTTATTATTATTTTCTAGATAAATTATTTCATTTTTCACTCATTCTATGGTCTTGAGTTTCAAATTCAATGTTTAGGCAAAATTTGCTCCAAACCACTTCCCCACACTAAATTATGTCCTTTTGTTGCAAAACTGGTCAACTCCCCAGAAGATTTCTGATCTGTATTAAATGAGGTCGTCAAACTAAAGAATAATATACTTTGGGAAGTGGTGTGGAGCAAATTTTGCCCAAACATTGAATTTGAAACTCAAAAACCATAAAAAAAAAAAAAAAAAAAAAAAAAAAAAAAAAAAAAAAAAAAAAAAAAAAAAAAAAAAAAAAAAAAAAAAAAAAAAAAAAAAAAAAAAAAAAAAAAAAAAAAACAATTAGTATTAATAAATTTAGGTAAATTGTATCATTCAAGGCTGAGGATGGTGTTTAACACAAAACACATTTTGAAGACATGTGAAATCTCATTGTGTGGAAGTCATCATGCTCCACTAGACATAGACACCTAATATTTGGTGTCCCTTGTCTGGTGGAATAATGCTAAAAATTCAAAGCATTAAGACATGTAAATGTTCAGACAAAATAAGCGATCTTTGAGAATTCAATGGGTATGAGTTTTTGAAGCAAGCCCTAACCATGTGAAAATCTTCGTCTTTTTAGCCAGTTGTTTGAAAGTTATTATGTACGCGTTGAACGATGTTAGAAGTCCAAAGCATACTATTTTAGATGTACACTATTAAATTAATAAAAGATGAAGAGATATTTCTCTTTGTTTTCCGATAGTTTATGAAACAATGATGCTTTATAGCCTCCCTGACCGAACACTCACAATAGGAGCCAAGCCCACTTTTTTCTTTCTTTGCTTTTTATTTTTTATCTTTTATTCACATGGTTCTCACACATGTGAAAGGCTATCATAATTTCTGTCACTCATTTTCGATCACTTTAGCTTAATTCTTTTGAAAAAAATATATTTTGGAGGTGAGAAAATGTCATAACAAGTACTTGATGATAGTGGGTGGCCATGAGTGTATTTATTCCTCTCATTTATATCACCGTATCTTCCATTTCAAGAAATCAAAATATATGAAATTGGCACTATCAATATGAAATGCAATAGTTGGCATTAAATTGTAATCTATCAATCATAGCTTGGCTATGTATGATATTTTGTGAGTAATAGCTTCATTTGGTCGAAAAATTTAGTCACCAGATTCGTGATGTTATCTTTGACAAGTCATTTTATCTAACTTTGTTGACTTTCCTAACTTGGATTCACTAGATTTCTTTTCTCCTTTAGCAAGCTAACAAAAACAGGGAGTCTTATTATAACAAGAATATTTGTCGTATGTAATTTCTTTTACCAGTCAGAATCCAATGCAAATCATCGAACTTGCTGTTTATATATATATATATATATATATATATATATATATATATATATATATATAAAGAAATAT